GGCACTAGAACTCACAGTCTCCTGGTGATTGGTCCAAGTCATCCAGCTGATTTTCATGCCTAAGGCGGGACTAGAACTCATTGTCTCCTGGTGATTGGCCCAAAGTCATCCAGCTGGTTTTCATGCCTAAGGCGGGATTAGAACTCACAGTCTCCTGGTGATTGGTCCAAGTCATCCATCTGGTTTTTATGCCTAAGGCGGGACTAGAATTCACCGTCTCCTGGTGATTGGCCCAAAGTCACCCAGCTGATTTTCATGCCTAAGGCGGGACTAGAAGTCACGGTCTCCCAGTGATTGGCCCAAAGTCATCCATCTGGTTTTTATGCCTAAGGCGGGACTAGAATTCACCGTCTCCTGGTGATTGGCCCAAAGTCATCCAGCTGATTTTCATGCCTAAGGCGGGACTAGAACTCACAGTCTCCTGGTGATTGGTCCAAGTCATCCAGCTGGTTTTTATGCCTAAGGCGGGACTAGAACTCATTATCTCCCAGTGATTGGCTCAAAGTCACCCAGCTGCCTCTCGTGCCTGAGGTGGGACTGGAATTCTCCACCTCCCAGTTTCTAGCCTGGTACCTTAACCATTAGACCAAACTGGCTCTAGTTGATAGTGGTTTGGGAAGGGTAGACATGTGCCTTCTTTTGGGGCAGAACATTTTTTTTCTTACAGCTTTATTATTTTTTTTAAAAAAGACAAAAGCAAAGAGACAGGGGAATAACCATTATTAAAAATTCAAGGATGGTTTGCAGAAAAGAAAAATAGAGATGCCTTGGATGCATTGTGGCATATTAAATATTTAAATGTTAAGAAATTAATTCCCATCCCGAATTCTTTCAACATAGCGTGTCTGTTTGTGTGCGTGTGTGTCAGATAAATTTCATTGTTAATAGATATATATTCAATATTAGAAAAATAGCAGCCTGATTAATAAAAAAAATCCTTTGCCTTTTTTTATTGGCATTCAGGTGTATTCATTTATGAATCACCCCAGAAAACATCGTACATCATCTACATCGTTAAGAGGCAGTGATAATAAAAGGTTATTTATTTTTAATTCGTGCAGATATCACATCCAATGGTTTCCTTATTCAATCCATTATTTATTTATTCAGGGCGTTCCAAAGGTTCCCCTTAAGGATTTGGACTACAGCACAATTTTATCTTGGAAGCCTGCAACACCATTGTTATAAGCAAGAGGCACAATAATTTAGTAAGCAACTCTTACCTCCTCACAGCATTTTTGTTGTTAGGCAAGGAAAGAATAAAAGGACTGCCGTGTTAACAATGCACCGACAGGGCACTCAGTAAATGGATGCATTACTTGGTACTTTTATTTTTTTATTCTTTTTTTACACACACACACACAAAATCAAAATGAAGGGCTGGGACAAGGAAACGATTCTTATTTACTTTACAACAAAAACTAAGGTGTGACCCATGCCAGGTTATTGTGACACACAGGGGCCAACAAAGCAGATGCATCTCCCCCCCTCTCATCTGTCTGTCTGTCTGTCTCCATCCATCCATCCATCCATCCATTATCTATTTATCCACACACACACTATTATTCGTCTCTCTCTAATATGTCTTTCTCTAACATTTATCTATTCATCTATCTACCAATCAACTCTCCCTCCCTTTCTCTTTCTCTCTCTCTTTCTCATCTGTCTGTCTCTTTCTCTCTTTCTACACACACACACATTCTGCCTCTATTTGTCTGTCTTTAATGTCTTTCTCTCTCTCTATCCCTAACCCTATCCACCCATTTACCCATCTCTCTACCCATCTCCCCATCCATCCATCCATCTATCTATCCATCCATCCATCACCTATCTATCTATCTACCTACCTACCTACCTACTTACCTATCCCTAACCCTATCCACCCATTTACTCATCTCACTATCCATCCATCCACCCATCCATCCATCCATTTATCTATATCATCATCTCTCTTTCTCTCTTGTTAATAAAGGGTATCAAATTGGGTCCTTCTGGTACCAGGGAAGGACACCAGAGGGACAATGGCCATCATTTTTGCCCTCAATTGAAAAAACCACGAGCATGCATCTTGGGGTATATCCCATGCCAACCTTTTATCCATGGGAAGGGTGTAGCCATTCCATCCATTTACAAAGTGCCCTGATCCCAAGAACCATCATTCACACATGATATTAAGCCTGATGCATAGATCACAACACAACCCACAGTTCACAACTAAGCCACAGCCAGAATGAAGGAAATCATCTACATGCAGAGCACATGAATTCAGGAAAATGAATCAAGCCAC